ATTACATAATACTTGCCTTCGCAAAACTATCATTCTAGATATCTAACCTTAAGCTAGGGCTTTGTGTAGATTTCCCTGTCTCAGTTACTGTAAACTTTTTGTTGTTCTAGTGTTTCCAGTAAATGAACAGGGTCATTTAGGTGTTTATCTTTCTCTTGTATCTCATTTATTATTAGTTATCAAAGTAAACTTTTCACCATACTATTTCCAACAATCAGGTCCAAGTTGCTATCTCTAAGTTCTTCCTACTTCAGGTTTCTCTCACACTCAGACATCATTTCTAGCTACATGAGAGATCTATAGGAGGTAGTGATTCTCAGATGCAGACATAAACTGGCAACAAAAATGAGTTCTTTTGCTAAAAGTAACCATTTATTTTCTTTTAAAAGACCTCACTAATTTTTTTTAAATGTAACTTAGTTGTGTCCCAAATTTTCTGATCAAGGAGATTATGGGGCCACAGAGCAATATGATCAATGACATAGAGTGTACCTAAGGAAAGTCCTCTGGAGAGAAAAAATTCTCTCAGGCTTTCAAAGAGAGCAAATTGGTCAAGCAATGGCCTTGACTCATCCACATGGCTGTCATTGACAAAGGATCTGCAAATTGCAATACAGGGTAACAGGATAAGTCCTGAGGGGACTTGACTGACCTTATCAGATACAGAAGATACAGTTCTTGTTATATAGGTCTTGCTTTATGCTGGTCTTAACAATCCAGCAGAAAAGAATAAAAACAAGGTATAAGAAGTAAAGCCATATTATTATGCTGAGCTGTGAAAGGCTCAAGTCAACAACTTCTAACATTGCCAGTCCTATGTATAACCCACTACTATTATGGACTGCTGGACTATATTGGATTATTTTGCTGAATTCATGCAACTATTATGTTTAAATGGCAGTGGAATACCCATCTCTAACAAAATTAAACAAAAAGAGGGTGTACAAAGGTAGGAACATTTTGTATCTGCATATACAAAATAGTTACGATAGATATACAGCAATGTTCTCTTAATTCAATGTGAAGAGAGATTCATACTGATAGTATTTGGACAGGATATCATGTCTGCATCTTATAATATGAATAACCACTAAGAAGATAACAATAGTCAATGTATTAATTATTGAAACTGTCCTATTAATCAGTTTTGAAACTGTCTCATTGCTGTTTCTCAATAAAATTAACTAAAAAATAAAAAAATAAAAATGTAACCTATAGAACAAGAGAAAGCATTTACAATATATATAATATGCAAAGATGTATTACAAAAATATAGAAAAATATTTACATTTAAAAGAAAAATTAGAAAATGTGGTCATAGCCAACACATTTAAATAAATGCTTATCATAAGCCATATAATGGGCATTCTCCTTATTATGTCCAATGGAAATGTGCACAAATGTTCTATAAGTCATAAAGGTGGTATAAATAACATATTTATAATAAATTAAATCTATAAACAATGTGTAAGTCCATCAATAAGATAAACAAGGGGCTGGCCAAATAGCTCAATGGATTAAAGCAACTGCAAGCAAGCACAGGGGCCAAGGGTTTGTGTGCCGAGACAGCAATTTAGATTGGGTATGGTGGCACGTGTCTGTAATTGCAGCTCTTGGAAACTGTAAATAGGCAGATCATTACAAGTCTGATTTAGTAGTGAGACCTGGAACACCCTGTACACCCTTGCCTAAAATACAAAAAAAAAAAAACAACCTATTTTTTTTTACAAGAATGGAAATAGATGAAGTATTGCATATACAATAAAGTGAGGGCTGGTGTTATAGCTCAGTGATAGTGTTCATTTTAAATACATATGAGGTCATATGTTCAACAAAAGGTATCAAAAATTACAAATCAAATGAGGAAAATGAATGGTTTGGAAAGTTCCATACATGGTGTGAAATTTATTATTTAGAGTCTCTAAAAACAGGCAAAATAAGTGTCTGGTGAAGTTTGTAATTATTAAGAGATCATGTCTTTATATTCTGCAGGTTTTCCCTTCACACAGTTGTCCTCAAAATACTAAAAATAAAATTCCATTTGACGCAGATAATTGTATTCAATCCTAAAATTGTTAAAAAAACATTGTATTGTAGAGATACGTGTACAATCATGTTGACAACAACACAACTTATAACAGCATACAGGAAGGAGCCTGTATGCCCATCAGATAAATGGATAAAGAAATAATACACAATGCTGCAATAAAGAAGGATAAATACGAATCATTTGTAGACAAGGAAATGCACCTTGACATGATAAAAGCTAAGTGAAATAAATATTACATAGAGATTAATATCACATGGTTTCTCTTATGAGAAACCTAAAGTTTAAATAATTTAAAGAGCAAAATAAAAGGTAAGAATATAAGAAACAGGGAAAATATACATTGTGAAAAGAGAAAAGAGATTTAAAGATAAGGAAATACATGGCAGGAGGGGAAAATGATGTGAAAAGTATTAAGATGCACTGTGGATTTTTACCAATTCCCCAGGATAAATGTAGTTATTATGTGTCACAAAAATATACTTATGAAAAATAGAGATCAAAACTATTTACATGAAAAGATAGATCATAACCTTTTAAAGTTGCCATTGATATCTTAAATGATATCATATAATAAAATAAAAACATATTTTTCTATCAAATGAAGAAGAGTAACAGCAAAATGGTCTTTGAAATTAATAGCTGAATAAAAACTCAATAGAAAGACTAGAAGATGAAATTGGTTTTACCCACATGAATGAAAAATGGCAGACACTAGACAGAATGGGAAAATATTAAAATCTACCCTGAGAACACAGGTATAAGAATAAAAAAAGAGAGATGATATACATAGCATAATTTAAAAAAGATTCCAGAAACCATAAGTTACAAGTTTCCTTATCAAGGGATTCCAGTTACACAGAGAAAAAAACAGCAAGACATGTTAAGGACAGTGAATGCAATTAAAAATCTTACAAACTTGAAAAGAGAAAAGAATATTGGGTGAGGTGATTTTAAAAAATATTCGTCACACAATTTTAATAACATGCTTTTAATTATACGGAATCATGATTTTGATAAAAAGATATAAAATTATAGAGTAGGCATCCATAAAAAGATCTAGGCCTGGTCAGGGCAGATGGCTTAGTAGAATAAGCATTTCCCTGGCAAGCTCAGGGGCCTACGTTCAAACCCAGTTATGCAAAAAAAAAAAAAAAAAAAAAAATATATATATATATATATATATATATCCCTATATAGTTGAAAAAATGACTAACAATAACACTGAGACAAATATTTCCACATAAAAATCATATTAATAAATCATGTATGATTTTAGTATCTACAGTAAGAACATTTTTAATTATGCTATATTACATATATAACTATTTTTTACCTGATGTCTCCACACATTCCCCAATTTCTACTTGTTTAATCTTTACCTTTAATTTCATACTTTCAGATTTTGCTTGGGTTCTAGACCCTGCTAAGTCTTTCAGAGCACAAATGCCAGAGAGTTGATACCTCTGCTCAAAGATGCTAATTATGACTAGTATGGCAGGTGACATGGTCACAGAATTGTTAATAGTTACGTATTATATATTTCAAAATGGCTAAAACATAAAATTTTAAAATGATATTCTAATAAATGATACATATTTGAAATGATAGAAACATTCAGCCAGATTTGAGCATTCCACAATGTACCAAAACATCACATTGTAACAAAAAATTATATCTTGGGCTCAGAATGTGGTTCAGTGATAGATTCTTATTTTGCATACCCATGCTCTGGATTCAATCCCCAGCACTACAACCAAAACAAGTAATTTAAAAAAGTAAATATGAAATAGAGTCAGACCTGGACTACAACAAAGAAACAGAAAGCAGCCATTTGTTTCAAGACAAGGAAAACACTTAGACTTCTTTTAAATTCCAGGCCACCCTGCAAGCTAAGTCTACGAATGTATGTTCAATCACATTTATGCTTGGCTTCTTCCCTTATCATACTTTATCTATTTACAGATTTCCTTGAAATCACTTCTTAATCAATTAGTTGTCATTTTTGGCCTAAGATCTACTACTAGAATAATTCAACACTCTTATTGTGTGCTAAAAGAGAGAAAGTAACTAAGGGGAACTAATTTATCAACTAGGGCATATACAGTGCTCTTTAAAAGTTAGTGGCGATTTCTTAATTCCTGTTTACTAGCAAGAAACTTGGTGCCAGACGTGTAATAAGACATGTAGTTTGTTGGCACCAGGGAGATGGCTCAGTAGAATAAGTACTTGCCTGGCAAGTGGAAGGGCCTGAGTTCAATCCCTGGTTCCGCCAAATAAATAAACAAACAAACAAATAAAGAAACATAGTTTGTTGAATGTAATAAGAATTTGACTACTTAAATAGTAATGATCATATTTTAAGGGAATACAGTATTAACCAAATGACCAAGTGTTCACAATTGCTCACTGACTACCTTTTGATTTTGAGTTAACCAAAATTTCATTTGCCATCTCTGTTTTCTAATGCACTCTAATGTCTTTAAGGCTAAACACACACACACACACACACACACACACACACACACACACACACACACACACGAGCATGACCCAATTGATGGGTTTTCCTATAAATCTTCTTCAGTGAATCTTTTTTCATGCTAGATGCCACTGACAACTTTCACTTGCTTGTATAACCTTCACTCTTAAGATTTAGTGCTTATCTGCATTCCCCTCACTTATCTCATTAAAAATTATCTTTCTGCTTGATTTTTCTCAGAAGAAATATTGAAGATTTATGAAATGGAAGCATTATTCTGTTTCAATTAATCCTTTTCCTCCTTTTCTATAATCCTTTTGAAAATAAATCTTTATTTACTAAGCCCTCATGTGTTTGTGTTTGTGAAAATATCCAGCAGTAAATGATTTAAGATATCATATATATTATAACAATATTGAGATTTATTAGTATTTTTACTACTAAGGTGTTTTTCTACTACAAAGAACTTACTTTCCAAGGTCGCAGTATATTTCTGGCATATCCCTTCTTTGTGGAAGTTCAGTATTTAATTTCAATGAACACCAAAACTCTTCACCCATTTCAGGCTGAAAAATAATGCTGGTGAAGACAAAAATGCAAAATCTTGTGAGTGGTTTTAATTCGTATAATAAACTTTGAAGAAAATATTTCAAGTTGATAGAAATAGTTGCTTTCAAATACAGTATTTGACAATGACACTGTGACACAGTCTATTCTTATGCTGGATGGCGTGTTTAATTTTTAATTTTTGCTAATAAGAGCACTTCATTGTTTATGAAAATCATGAATATCATTAATGTCTGCTCAATAAATGTGTGTTTAAATAACAGAAAATACTTAAAACCATGAGTATTTCAAATGTCGTGAAATAAATAACAGAAATGTTCTGATTTTTAACTGATGTTAAACCAAGGGTAGTTTGTTGAATTGAATGCATGTATACTTTTCATGTAAATGTTATTAAGTGACATAGCTTGGAGAACTTTGAGGATAATGAGTATGTGCTCAGTTCAGGCACAACAGAGACTAGGGCAGTCTCATTGAACAACTGGGGTAGTAGCTCAGTTCTTTTATCTTTTATTATTTATAAATTGTAGCAAAAATACCGAATGCTTAAAGTACCACAACTCACAACAGCTATGCCTTGGAAATGCCTGATATATCCACCAACAGAAAAATGGGTAAAGGAAACTTGGTGTTTATGCACAATCAAGTACTATTCTGGTGCAAAGAACCTGCATTCGAGTCACTTTCAGGAACATGCTTGCATCCTGAGAGCTCAGTGTTAAATGAAACAAAAAAGACACCCAAACTCAAATATCACATGTTTTCTCTTACATGGGATACCTGAGGTATAATTTAATAATCTAGTGTAAAAGATGGATATTAATAAATGAGAAGATAGAATTTTGGTAAATGGACAGTGTGCCAAAAGATGAAGTTGGAGAGGGAAGAGTGGACATAAAAAGAAATAATATGTGTTATGCACATGTACTAACTCACTAAAATAAATGTATTCAGTATGTACTACAACTATGTACTAAAAAAAATAAATACTACAAACTTATTTCAGTAAATTAAATATTAGCTTTAATCCCTTGTAGAATCCTGTCTTTAGGTTTGAATACATTTATTATATTATTTACCATTTTTGTAAGCAACTTTGGAACTCCTCTTTCATTAATGTCTTTGGGTGCACTGTCAAGGCTGTCTCATTCGAAATCAACTATGAATGTTTACCTTTTATAGTCATTTTGGGGCTGGAGAGATGGCTCAGTGGTCTAAAGCACCTACTTAGAACAAGCTTAGCAAAAGCATCAGGGACCGCGGTTCAATCCCCCAGCACCACATGCCAGCCAGCCCCGCCCCCTGTGGGTCTCTCTCTCTCTCTCTCTCTCTCTCTCTCTCTCTCTCTCTCTCTCTCTCAAATAAATAAATAAAAAAAAATTTAAAATATAGTCATTTTGACTTTAGAATTGAGCCAAAAATCACAGTGCCAGATCTGGTTAATAATGTAGTTAAGTATACACCTTAGTATTTACATGTCTGTCTTTCATTTGGATGTTATTCAAAAGGAAATTTTACCCTATATTTGAACACAACTTGTAAAGACACTCAAATAACTTGGGCAGTAACATTCAAACACATAAATTATTTTAAATAAATCATTGACTTAACAATTGCCATGTGAGCCAAATATTATGGGTACATGTATACAAATATATAATGCAAAAAACGTTTTCAAAATTTCCCTGTTATGCCCTATTTGTCATTAATATTTATGTCAATATTTGCACATGTGTAAATGTATATGCACATGTATGTTTTTAGTATCATATAACATCTGTGATTTAGTTTTCTTTATAGACTTCAAGTGAATGATTTATATCTGAGAAAAATATACGGACTAGTTTTCATCCAAAAAATAAAGGTGTATTCCACATTCCTTTTGGAATTATTTTCATTTCTTTCAAATGTTACACTCAGAAATACTTGTTTACTGAAAAATGAATTGAAACAAGAGGCCAAAAGAAAAATTCAGGAATTAATTTCATATGCTACCAATAATTTTGTACTAAAGCAAAGAAAAGCTAACTCTTGTTTAGTATGTTTTTATCTTAGAAAATTATACTGAAGCATACAAAGAGATAATTTTAATAGCATAGTTTCAAAAGATCAACAAGAAAATATTGTGCAAATATTGTGCCCCACTCAACTCATACCTTTCTTCTTTATAGCCTAAAGTTGCTGAAGAATACCACACAACATAGTTCGTACTTTCCAGGGGTTTCAGTGTAAGTACTTCAGGTCCAGACAGGGTAGGATTTGATAATAGCACATTTATGTGAACAATTGCATTTATTGGATTAGAGATAGGTATTTCAATACAACTTGTCTCCTAGAATTATAAAACAAACACATAACCAGATTTTAGTATAAACAAGCCATTGCTCTATGTAAGGAAATATAAAGAAAGTTATAAAATATATGGCACTTTTCCTAATTCATGAAAACATTTTAACCAATTTTAATCTCTGATGTTTTCTTTGATTAGTATTGGTAAGCACTATCAATATTTTAACTATATACCCCAGCCCACTCCACCTTGGTGGGTCTACCAAGAAGGAGCCTCTGGACCAGCAGTCAGTGGGGCCCAGTGGTCCACTTGGATGGTGCTCAGCTGGAAGCGGCTGAACACAGCCACCAGACCCAAGCCAAGTCCAGTCAGTTGAGCTCGAGTTCAGTAGATCTAGACCCAGTGGGCTGAGACACTGCTGGGCGCAGCTGAGCCCAGACCTAGGCACAGAACTAAAGGGGCATCCTCAAGGCACAGAGATGGCAGCAGGTAACTGGGGTGAACTAGTCTGCCTGGAAGACTCCAGGTGCATGAAAGGGAGGTGCCCACACAGAATTTAGGGGAACAAATTTAAAAATCAAATTCCAATTTAAGATGTGATTTATTATACAGTTAAAATGTTTGCTTCAAAAGTCTAAAGTGCAAACACATTAGTTACAAAAGTGTGTCAATTACTAAATTTCACTAGCTGTTATTAGCATTGCTAATTATACTACTGTAAATAGGAATGAATATCTGCCTTAACCACATATCCTTCCTTGGGTAATAAAATCAGGAAGTGTTTGGCTAGTAACCTCACCAAAACCATACACTAAAGGATGGAGGGTATTTCCAAAGGAAAGCAATATCTCAGTCTCCATCAATAGAGAAGACAAAATCTTGGAACACACAGAAAGCAAGAATCTCTAACACAGGAGAGATACCTTAAAAATAGACCACAGAGAAGCTATGGCTGGAATGATACAGCTACCTACTACCAAAATTTCACAAAAAAGTATCACAGAAATCACAATAAAGAGTGCTTTCTGAAACAGAAAATGACAAAAAGAAGGCGCAAAATGCAATCTTAGGCCCTGAGCCCACCCAGAACAAGTCCCAGGAGGCATCAGCGTAGAAGAAACTGGAAGCCACACATCTGAAATATCTGAAATAATAGTAACTGAAGTAAAAAAAAAAAAACTGCAGAAAGGTATAGATGAAATCAGATCAGAAATAATCTCACAGGTAGAAAAAGAAATGGTAACTACAATGAAAGAATTATTAAGTATTTCTAAAGAAGACACTGATCAAAAAATAAAGAATAGGGGCCAGGGAGATAGCTCAGTAGAATAAGCGCTTGCATGATAAGTGCAAGGGTCTGAGTTTAATTCCTGGTTCCGCCAAAAAAAAAAAAAAAAAAAAAAAAAAAAAAAAGAGTGAATAGAAAAATGGTGGAATACGTGGAACAATACAAGAAAGAAATAGAATGCATGAAGCACATACAAAAGATAAATAAGAAATTAAAAACTCCATTAAAAGTTGAGAAAACTGTTAGAATGACTGTAAGACTCCAGGTGCATGAAAAGGAGGTGCCCACACAGAATATAGGGGAACAAATTTAAAATCAAATTCCAATTTAAGATGTGATTTGTTATACAGTTATAATGTTTGCTCCAAAGGTCTAAAGTGCAAACACATTAGTTACAAAAGTGTATCAATTACTAAATTTCACTAGCTGTTATTAGCATTGATAATTATACTACTGTAAATAGGAATGAATATCTGCAAGATATTCATTGAAAACAATGCAAGGATGAACATCATAAGAATAATGGTCAGTGGTGAGAAAGAAAATAACAGAAATGACATAAAAAGAATATGGGCAGAATAGTGGAAAACTCCCCAAATATTGGGGAGCAATTTGATATTCACGTAACCAAGACATACAGAACTTCAAACAATATCAACCCAATTAAAACTACACCCAAACATGTAATCATTAAGATGCCATAAATTCAGCACATGAAAAATACTAAAAGCTGCTAAAGAAAAGAAACAAATCATATTTAAAGGAAACCAATCAGAATAACAGCAAATTTCTCCTCACAAACCATCAAGAAGAGCATGAAGCAAAGTTCCTCAAGTCCTCCAAGAAAACAAATTCCAACCCAGACTGATATACCCTGAAAAACTCTCAAGTTCATGGAGAAGTGAAGCTACTTCAATGACAAAAACAATTAAAGACATTCATGATGACCAAACCAACCCTACACAGAGAACTAAAAGATATTGTACAAATTCTGACATTTCCAGTCCTACAGATAACCCACTATTATTATGAACTACTGGACTATATTGGATTATTTTGCTGAATTCACACATCTACAATATTTAAATTGCAAAGGAATACCCATCTGTGACAAAGCTAAACAAAAAAGGGGGATATAAATGAAGGAGCATTTTGTATCTGTATATACAAATAGTTAAGATAGTTATAAAGCTACTTTCTCTTAATTTAATGAGAAGAAAGATTTGTACTAACAGTGTTTGGACAGGATATCATGTCTGCATCTTGTACTATGCATAACTATTACAAAGACAACAACATGCAATGTATTAATTATTGTAACTGTCCTACTAACCTGTCTTGAAACTGTATCATTGCTCTTTCTCAATAAAATTAACAAAAAATAAATATTTCAAAATACTTCAAAAAATAAGAGATATTCTAGAAAGGGATCAAAATGGACACAATTCCAGGAATGACAACAGAAGCCCACCAAACACAGGAAACTACTAAACAGAGGAGAAAGGTAGGGAACTAACAGCAGGAAAATAATGTGACAAATGTAAGTCAACACAAATCAATTGTAACCACCAATGTAAATGGACCAAATTCATCAATTAGAAGAAATAGACTGGCAGAGTGGATTTAAGAAACAAAATTGAAGAATATGTTGTATACAAGAAACACATCTGATCTATAAAGAAATTCATAGGCTGAAAGCCAAAGGGTACAAAACAGTACTACATTCTCCAGGACCTTAGAAAAAAGCAGGGGTAGCTATTCAGTTCACAGACATTCTGCACTTCAAACCAAGAATGATGAAATGAGATGAAGGATGTCACTGCCTAGGGAAAAAATTCAAGAGGAAAAGATAAGATTCATTAATACGCATGCCCCAATATGAGACCACTGAAATATATAAGACAAATTTTAAAGGACCTAAAAAATCTAATAACAAATATAATAATCCTAACAGGGGACCTTAACACCCCCTTATCTCAAAAAGATAAGTAAAGCAAGCAAAAAAATTAGCAAAGAACAAATGGACTTAATGGACATATACAGAGTATTCCACCCAACATCTGAATACACACTTTTTCAGCTGCACATGGGTCATTTTCTAAACTAGACCACATACTAGTCCATAGATCATACTTAAGTATGTGCAAGAAAACATAAATTATCCTATGCATATTATCTGACCACAGTGCAATAAAACTGGAAATGTTTTCCTTTTCTTTTTTGGGGGGATTTATTTATTATAAGTTCTACACGGTCTCACTACGTAGATCGGATGTGTAATGATTCTCCTGTTTTCAGCTTCCCAAGAGCTGGGATTACAACTGTGCACCACCATGCTCAGTCACAGTCTCAGTCTCAGCATGTCCCTGGGGTGGAGCTCACACAGCACTCTAAGGATCGATCTGAGCTCTGCATAAACAGGCGCTTTAGTTCACTGAGCTATGTGGTCAGCCCAAGACTGGAAATTGACAACAAAATAAACCAAAAAAATCCCATAAACATATGGAAATTTTAAAATATTCTCTTCAGCAACCAATGGGTTACACATGAAATTAATCAGTAAATTAAACAACACCTACAATCTGATGAAAATTCAAACACATCTTACTGGAATTTCTGGGATGAAATAAAAGCAATTCTTAGAGGGAAATTTGTAGTGGTAAACTCATAGACAGGAAAACAGAGCAAGAACAAATAAATACTCTCATGCTACAACTCAAGAATCTAGGAAAAGAAGAGGAAATCAAGCCTAAAGCCCAAAGATGTGAAGAAATTACAAAGATTACAGCAAAAATTAATGTAATTGAGACAAAGATAACAGTACAGAGAATTAATGAATCCAAAAGCTGGTTTTTCACAGATTAAATAAAAGTGAAAGGGCTGGGGAAATAACTCAGTAGATTAAGTGCCTGCCTAGCAAGCACAGGGTCCTGAGTTGAATTCGCAGTACCAAATAAATAAATAAATAAAATAAAAATAATTGAACAAATAAGGAAGAATTTCCTGGATAAAATTGACAAACCACTAGCTAACTTCCTCAAAAAGAGGAAACAAAAAACTCAAATTCTAGCACAATCAAATTCAATGAAAAGTGAGAAATTAGTATAAATCCTAGGGAAATTAAGATCATCAGTACTTATTTTTAATGTCTATACTCTCACTGGATCAAACCCAGAAAAAATAGACAGATTCCTAGATAGGTACAAAATGCCAAAAACTGAATCAAGAAGATATAAAAACTCTGAATAATCCAATGCCAGCCAATGAAAATGAAAATATAATTTAAAAATTACAAGCAAAGAAAGGCCCATATCCTGATGGAATCACAGCTAAATTGTTGAAGAAATTTAGAGATTTCATCCAATAATCCTCAAATTTGTTAATTAATTTAAAAAATAAGAAGTACTCCCAAACTCATTCCTGAAAGCAAGTAATATACTGACACCAAAACTTAGAAAGATCCAAGCAAAAGAAAGAACTACAGTCCAATCTCCCTCATGAACATAGATGCAAAAATCCTCAATAAAATACTACCAAGTAGAATACAGCAAATTAACAAGATTATACACCACAACCACATAGGATTCATTCCAGGGATACAAGAATGGTTCAATCTATACAAATCTATAAATGTAATACACTTTATTAATGGAGCCAAAACCAAAATACACATGATCATCTCAATAGATGCAGAAAAGGTTTTTGACAAAGTGGAACACTCATTTATGATCAAAGCTCTAAAGAAAATATTAAT